GTCATTTACTATAGTGTTTCATGAGTATAGTATATGACCCGACAAATGCGCGCACGAAAAAAGCGCGCTGAAAAAAAGCGCGCTGACAAAACCGTGATATCATAAAAGTGCCCACAACAACGCGCTGACAAAACTGCGCCCACAAAAGCATGATTTAAGATAAGGTAAGGGTTAGGTTCAGAGTTAGGTTTAGGATTAGGTTTAGGGTTAGGGTTAGGATTAGGGTTATTAGGTTGTTATTAGTTGTTTGTTAAAGGCATGCTTTTGTCGACGCGCTGTTGTTGGCACGCTTCTGCATACATTCATCGGTGCAATTTCGACCTCGCGGTTTACTTGCCGCAGTTTCATCGGGGTGCTTTTGTCGAGCGCACATTTGTTGGTGAACCTATTTGGAACAGTTTGGCCTCTCTCCAGCTTTGTCCAGATGGTCCCTTTATATGTGTTGCTGCACTGCATCCGCACTCTTTCCCCTTTCCGTCCCTCCTCCAACAAGATTCACCCATTTCCGCCAAGGGGAGACAAAGCCCTTCGGCCTCCCCCTCTGCTCTCTCCCCTCCCCACCTGCCGGGTCTTTGCTGTCTGTGGTGGGGTGGCGTCTGCGCCATTCCTAGGCCGCCTCCCCCCACCCTTAAGCAGGCCTCCTCCAGTCCACCAGAGCTCCAGAGGAGGTGGAGGTGGAGTGTTTCCTCAGCCCGGCCGGCAAGCACATGCTCTCCAGCCCCCTCACAGTGAGCCAGCTATGACCTCGCCAAGATGGCTCTGATGGGGTGGCAGCGGCGGTGTCAGCCTGAGGTGCAGTAAGGCTGGTGTGGCCACTGGGTGCCACATGAGGCAGCGGCTGCAACATCATCATCATCTCTGGATGGGGCTGCGGTTGGTGGGGGCTGCCTCACGTCCGCATTGCCAGGGGCGGCTCCCTCCTCCTCCTGCTCCTCAGGGATGCTGGCCGCCTCTCGCTGCCGCAGAGGGAAGCTGGGGTGGGTGCAGTGGCCACTTCCTCCTCTCCTCAGCCCGGCTGGGCCGGAGCCTGAGGGTGTTGCGTCGTCATCGGTGGGTGGCATCAGGCCTTCCTCCTGCCTGCTCCAATGCAGCAGCAGACACAGCAGCAACAGCCTGACTCAGCATCAGAGGTGCAGAAGAGGAAGAAGATGGTGCAGCCCACAATGCTGCCTCGGCGGGTCAGCAGCAGCAGCGCTTCCCTGCTTGGAGGACTTCCAGCCCGGCCTGCTGGCCCAGTCGATGTCGCCTGCCCCGGCCTCCGCCACAGCCTCCATCTCGGTCTCCTACTGCCCTCCCGGGGCACCTCCGACTTCTTCAAGATCCTGGACATCTCGCTGTCCCGGGGGTACCGACTTGGTGGAGCCTGAGTGCAGCTCCTCTGAGGAGATGCTCAACAACTTGCATGAGGCCAACAACCCCAGCGCTGTCTCTCCCAATCAGCCTCACCCGGCCCAGCAGCCCCGCGGCCTGATCAATGGCAACGCCCACCTGCTGTCCCACTATATCCATGGGGAATACCCCAGCCTCCCTCTCATGCTGGCCCCCCCCACCCATGTCTGGAGGGGCCCCATCCAGCCTGTCGTTCCAGAGGCTGCCCGTCGCGGGAAGCATGGAGGTTGCCAGGACCTGCAGAAGCATCCTCCATGGCAGCTCTTGCAGGGGCCGCTGTGGCTCACTTCCATGCGGGGGCTGCCTCTGCCGGAGGAGCCGTGGCTGGTGCAGCAAGTGGCAGGGCCCGCCAGGTGGACAAGACCCTTACGAACTTTTCCACTCCTGGCAAATGCATGACCCTGCCCAGATGGAACCTCACAGGGAATATTTCTTTCTTTGCTTTTTGTTGGTAAATGTGTCCAGTCCAACATCTTTCCAGCAATTGAAAATTGTTTCTCACATGGACAATTATATGCTGCGTGTTCTATCAGTTGGCAAACCAGACAATTTTTATATCTGCACAGACAATGGAACAACAAAAAATATTGTATACCCACAAGCATTGTGAAATTAAACATATTAGAAACTTTCTCTTTCTGTTTTCTTTCTTTTCCATTTAACCAGACTGGGACACAGAAACCCGTGGCCGGGTACAGCTAGTAGATAAATAATTTTAAAATTAATTTTAATTGAAAAAAGTAAATGCCTAATCATAAATGCATCAGCTATTATGTTACCTGTTCCACAATAAATAGAATAGAGATTGTAATTGTGCCTAAATAATCAATACAACTTGCAAAGAAAGGGAAAATATTGCTTTTATAGCAATATAAAAGAAGGCTGAACAAAATTGCAAGTGAAAGATTATAATATGTTGCATGGCAGGCCTGGACAGCATTGGAAAGTAAATGAAAATTAAATTCTTTACCAAATATTCAATGTATTTTAATGATGTTTAATTGAATTCTCAACAGGTTTTTTAAAAAGTTTTCTCGAGATTGCCATTAAAAATATGAGTTTCTGCAAGCTTAGCTATCACTGTTCTATGGTAAACTCCACCACTTTGGAATATATGTGTTATATCACATATCTAAACGGGTGTAATATGTGTACCAAGCTGTTTTATTGTAAGGTTGTAAATTATTATGCATTATATTATTTCAATGCAGATTTAAATGCAGTAATGTTTATATAATATAATTAGAATTATTGAAAAATATTATTTTAAAAAAATTAACATTGAAATTAAAAAAAGAAAATTACAAATTCCACCATATTATTTGCAAATATATGAGTGATACAAGCATAAAATTATTTAACATTTTGTTCAAAGTTGAATATAAAATAAATGATAAAAAAGAACCACTGTGATCCACATCAAACTATAGCAATATAATAAAATAGCTTTTGTCTTTAACTTCATTACTTAATGATATGTGTGAATGTCTGTGTGCCTGTGTCTGTGTAGCCTTCTTGTAGGTTTCCTCACTGACGATTGATTGATTGATTGATTCAGTTTGTATGCCGCCCTATTCCCGAGAGACTCAGGGCGGCTAACAATCAAAAGGGAAAGGGGTACAAAATAAAAAAAAATAGAAGACATACACATTTTAAAAGCAACAACAGTCATACATATCATTAAG